AGGGTAGTGGGGTGAGGAGGGTGTCAGGTGTCGCGGAATTCTTGCGCGCTTCAGGGTTGGGAGTATTAAAAGTTTTATGGTAGTAGCCATATCCGGTGATTGCGCGGCTTCTTTAGCGAATCTGGCAATAATGTCAGTGAGATGCCTCTGGGGTGTGACGTCTGGTGGGGGGGTAAACTGTTTGTAGTGATGACTCTAATGGGGAGGTCTTTGCTGCATTTGAGAGGTAAGTGTTCAGTTTTTCCCATATCTCCGTGTTTACGTATGAAGAACTGAGTTTCTTTCCCGTGACGGATGATAGATCCAAAGGCCGAACGGGGGATTTCAGCTGCACCGGCAAGAGTGTTTTTGAGTTCGGTGAGCGTGGAGGGTTTAAGATTCTCGACCCGAAGCTCGGTGAGGGTTTCCACGCGTGTGCGCAAGTATTCATTCTGGATATCCTCAATGGTGTCAATGGCAATAGGGGCTCTTATGGCCGCCGCGACCTTTCGGCCGAGGTAGGAATTGGTGATTGGGTTACGACCGGTGGTTAACATTTTGTGGTAAGCCTCTGGTCGGTCCGCTTCAGCAAGTTTCCCAATAGCCTCTATGGCCTTGGCGGCAGGGGTGCTTTTGTTGGTGGGTTGGCGATTGGTGCCAAGGGGCGGTGCACGTGTAGCGTTACCGGTTCCAATGGGTTTTTCGGCGGTTTGCATGGCGCCATGAGCCATGCGCATCTGTACCAAGTCTTGAGCTATGTGGTTGTAGCTACGTTTAAGAATTTGAATATATTCTTTTTGGCCCTTGGTAAATATGATGTGCTTCTCCAGGATGGCCTTGACGAGTTTCCGAGGGACAAGTTCGTCTTCTGTTTGATAAAACTCGACAAGAAGAGAAGTTATTTCATGTTCAGCAGTTTCGAGGTTAATCTTGCTGGTTGGAGGGCGTTTCTGGGGGGCGGATGAGAACATTGACGCCATAGTACGGGTGAGTTGGGGGGGACTGCGGTGTTCGGCTTCCCAATACAGTGCATCCAGAGTTTGGCTGCCGTTAACCTGCCAGGGCAGGGAATGTCTGTGTGTGACGCTGACTTCTGCATGGTGGTACATTTGGAGCGTCCGTCAGTACCAATGGCCTCCCAAAGTGACTTTGAGCGCCCCGTGCAGTGGAACGCTTCCAAAACCCCAATTTTGAGAAATTTTGGGGTTGCTAAATTTGTTTGCAAACGATGTTGCAAACATTGCCGAGACGAAAAAATCGTCTCGGCAACCGTTTCGTTTGCAAACGTTTGTAAAAACACGATTGTTGCAAACTTTGTCAAACCTTCGACCATGTCCAGCACTCCAACTCAGGACGTCCCATCACCATCAGGGGTTAACTCCCCCATCATTACTAGTGCCGCTGCTGCATCTACAAAGCAGAAAAAGAGGGCGGTGGCTCCCCTGAAGGTAGCCAAGGATCCTTCAATTAAGACTTCCAAGGCAAAGGGAGCCAACTTTTCTTTAGCCGAAAGCAAAGGTAAGATGTCCTCTAGTACTTCTCATTTAAAGCCATAAGCTGAAATGTTTTACATTCTATTAGAGTTGATACAAATAGTTAAGAACGAGTTGCCGAAGGGCCAAATGGGGTGGATGAAAGTGGCTTCTGTCTTCAACCGTCGTCACAGCAGCGATCGTCAACGCGAATGGGACGCTTTACGAAATCGGTTCATGTCCATCAGGAACACTACCCGCAAGCTTACGGCGAACATCACACAGGAACTGAGGGATGAAGCCAACGAAGTTTCGAAGATTCTGGAGAAAGATGCTGGTATTGTGACGGGAGGAGGACCAGCACCACTTACTGAAGATGAGGAAGGAAGTAAGTTAACTAAATACAAAGACTTTAATGTTAACCATGTTTAGGATTACTGCCAATTATTGAAAACATGCTTCCTGTCTCAGAACGTGAATGGAACGAGGTTGCAGCTGAATTCAATGACGGCCTCCCAATCGAGGATCATCGCAGTGCGGAGTTGATCAAGAGCCACTTCGATTCACTTCACTCTGTACGAAAGCCAACAGGGGATCCCGATTGTCCCGCAAACGTTCGATGGTGCAAGCGAATCAACCGACAAATTCAAGAAAGAGTTAGTGGCGGAGACGGGCCACCCGACGACAATGAGTCCGAACAAGAGGAAGATGAAGATGTTTTTGAGAACGCCGCGCCGCATGACGGTTTATTGTTGGGGGAAGACGTGGATGATGAAGATTGGGATGCGGTGGATGAAGTAGGCTTGGAGCAGGATGTAGACTTTGACGAAAATGGGTTGGCGGGAAGGATCGAAAGCCAAAAGGAAAACATGGATTTGGCCGGGAAGAAAAGCGGTCGGCCTGGGACCCCAAACATTCGCGACGTGAATATACCTCTGAATAATGATCATCAAACGCCAGTGAGGGGAGAGAACCGAACGATGAAGAGAAAGTTGGACGACAGCAATAAGAAGATTCTCTCCTCGCCAACGTTTTCTGTGGCAACTAGACTGGGGGCGCAAGGCATACGACCGAATAACCCCATATCCAAAGAGGCATCGGACTACAAATCTCAGAAGGCTCAAAAACGTTCGCGAATATCCTCAGCAGTTACCTCAGTTGTTGATTCCACGAGTGCTATTACTGAGTGAGTTAAGCTTAGGATTTATTGCATAAAATAACTTTTTTTTTTTTCAAGACTCATTAAGATGAAGGAGGAGCAAGAACAGGAACGGAAGGAAGAGAAGGCCCTTAGGTTTCACGAACTGGAGTTAAAACGCATAGAAGTCGAGATGCTAAGGTTGCAGGCTGATGAAAGAGCGGAGGAACGCCGTCTTGAGGAGCAGAGGCGAAGGGATGAAGCAGATCAAAGGGCTGAAGAGCGTCGGTTAAACGATGAGGCGCGTCGAGATAAGCAAGATCAGTTAATGGCCATGATTTTCGCATCAATTGCAGGGAAATTGGATATCCCATCATTAAATGTTATGGCCCGAGAAAAATAAACATAAACATATACATCTATTATCGTTTTTATGAATATAGTAATATTTATTAATTAAAAAACAATACGAATCACAAATCAAGTGAATCTAGCGAAACTGCATAACGAGAGTAGACTGTGCGTATCTGACTGATATCAGTTGTGCGCACGCGTAAGTTATAGAGTCTGAAGAGATTCGTCAACCGTAGTTTTCGGCGATTTGGGTCGTATGGGAGCTTGCATGTAAGCCGTCTGAATGGCTTTTCTACTGCTCCCATTCCCCACTCCGCCGCTTGCCTTACGTCTGTTATAGCTGCACTCACCAGCTGCGCGTGAGCCTGCTCACCGATGGGTAATCTATGAGGAAGTCAGCTAAAGAGTTCGCCAAGTCACCTAACACCTTTGAAGATCACCAGTTTTCAACGGCGTTACAATGCGATCAAACATGTCGCCAGATACCGGAAAGGCAGAGTCGGCCACAACTCCATGATCTTGAAGGGAATACCGCGCGTCTAGCAGCGTGTCTCTAAACTCCCTCGAGTTTTCACTGACGAGCGTGGGATAAGTTTGTTGAATTCAGTTTAACCCTTTACTAACCTGTCGTTCCAGGAGCCCGGGCTGTTATGGCGATACCACACAATGGTTCCGTCAACTCCAAAGCAGAGAACTCCTGTGACCAAAACAGCATGAAGCCAGCCATTGTAAAAGGCATTCTGCAACTCTTCTTGCGTCGGCTCCTGAACGCTGTAATTCTTGCCGTCAATAAACCCCCATCGACCGTGAAGAGCAGGCTTTCTCGCGTTTATCATCTGAGCCCATTGTCGCTGCTGAGGGTGTGTAGGCCATCGTACTTGGGCGTCCTTTATTTCATCCAGAGCGGCAGATAACGCAGACTCCGCCTGACGGAGATTCCTTGACAACGTGGCTGGGGGGATGCAGAAGAGCTGGCAAAGTGTTCTATGCTCCATAGTGCCTAATCAACGAGGTTTTAGATAGTTCATCCATAAAACAACACCTTCTACCTCGTGGTGCAAACTAACCTGTGTAGAAATGAAGCATCATGCCTAAGACTGTTGACTTTTCAAGAAGCTTTCGAGGCCTACCGGGCCTTGAGGGACCGGAACACACGATGTAGTGTCTTGAGAAGTGTTCCAGTAGCATGTCAAAGGTTGGGCGATCGAATCCAGTTACAGCGAGAAAGCCCAAAACGTTCACCCGCGCGGAATTGTACAGGGTAAACCAAGACATGGTCGAGGATCTCCCAAGTCTTCCACTGTCAAGTACAACCTGTTAGAGTTGGAATCATCGTATTCTTCCAAAGCTCTAAGTAACTGTGCGGCGTTCATTGACAGCAGAAGAGCTAATTCAAGCATGATAATGACAATATGTATTTTGTTGAGGTTTTGGAAGTGTCCAGTGTTGCAAACGATGTTGCAAAAGGTGTTGCAAAATTTTTGTAAAACACCCCAAAATTGGGGTTTTGGAAGCGTTCCAGTGGGGGCAGGCAATCATTCCTCCAAACTGGGATAGGAACTCATTGATGATCTTAAGGGTGATATGAGCCACGGGTAAGCCGTTGGCTATGATTTTCATTTCTTCAGCATTGGAGGCAGCGGCTAACTTCCTGAGGATGTCAGCCTCTCGCAAGACTTCGGTAGGCTTATCGAGCGGTTTGTGGTCATCTAAGAGGTTCAGTCGTCCATCTGGCCCTTTAGTGATGGCAGCCCAAGTGGTGGGGTTGTACTCCAGACTGCTCAGATTAACTTCGTCTGAAAGTTCCATGTCTTTATCATCAGTTTCATCAGGGTCCGGTTCCTCGTCGGGCATAGGCCGCAGCGTCGGCATACGTCTGGTTCCCGGGGATCTGGACCAGCGGTTTTGAGCAGCTTAACAGGTTCGTTCCTTTCTTCAGATAAGGGTCGCTTTGGCTGACGAGTCTTATCTTCAGGGGTCTTCGCTCCAGCGCTGGAGGCGCTAGGACGACGGCCGTTTGTGTCCGACAATTTTTCCATCAAATCAATTCATTCATCGGGGAAATGGTGTAGTGGTATCACATTCGTTTTGCATACGAAAGGCCGCGGGTTCAAACCCCGCTTTCTCCATACGGCTATGTCTATTATGATTGATATTTACTTTTTAGTAGTCTATTTAGCAGCTCTCCTCTCCACAGGTACCATTCACTCACCTCCCGAATGGAATCCTAGGAAAACTGTGGTTCTGTGATTCATCGACAAATGCCTCATTAATTCGTCAAACACCTTTAAACCACAGGAAGGTGAAGCTTAAACTAAGAAGGAATGAAAAAAAAAAAAAATTTATCCCTTTCAAGGCGTCTTTTTGTATTGCATAATATAACTTTACTATGCTAAGCTCTGAATTTTTTCACGGAAACCATGATAAAGAGTTCATCATGATAAGATTATGATTACTATCTCACAACTTTCCCTCAAGATATTAAAGCTTCATGCTTTGAATATACTATGCATGACTTAGAGTACTGAGCAAAGGCGAAAGCCTCGTGCTTTTTCAATCCCAAAGACGAAACCGTTTTTTAAATAATGGGTCTATTCAAAGAGGATTTAGGAATGGATGACACACTTCATTTGACTTCAAATTCATACCCGGATTTCGTATAAGCAACACCATCACTATATTTTCCGATGGTTAGTCCTTAGTTTTAGGGACCACCTACAGCAGTTGTGAATGTGTCATAGATGATAACGATAGCACTAACCGGACACAGAACAAATTCGTATATGGTGAACAGCTCTAGTAACAGAACCAGTCGTGGGTTTGAGAAATTAGAAATTATGACTGATGGCAATAGCTGGTAAAGTGACTAGAGATAGTTACTTACCGTGATAGACCATACAAGTAATATAGTGATATTTTATATATCAATGTCGGTTTCTTATGAATCGGATTTAGTAATGAGAAGGCAATGTCTACCGCTACCTGGGTTTCGCACTCTTTGAATTCATCTGCAGGAAGACTCGAACGCGGAGGCGTGTAAACCAAAGTGACGATACCCCAAGCTCTTTGACCTCTTGATGCGAGTCCGTAGTTGTGGTTGAGGAAAGAGGGCTAATTGGGGATTTACGGGGCTGAGACGCGTCAGGACGGGTAAGCCTCTGGACATCCCGCCAACTCGCATTTAAATCACTCACCTCATGTATGAGATGAGACGCACATTATTTCCTTCCCGTACACATTCATCTGGCATCTTTTTTTTCTTCTTTAAAATATTAATTACCAGATATAGATGCTGACGGGGAGATCAGCGTGCCGGCGGCGCGGCTTGAGGGTTGTACCGTGTAGAATTGAGTAGAGAAGGGTTTCGTGAACGTGAAGTTTGAATGTGGGTTTATCATCTCAGGGCGTTATAACGTTTATATTACTTGATTTAGTTAAGTAGGACGGGTTGTTGGGGAACGCCAAAAGGTTTAGCTTTGTTGGCGGGGTGTCGCAGAATGGTTAACGCTCGAGTTTGTTTTCGTTTATTTAAATCAAACCAAAAAAGGCTTAAACCCAGAGCGAGTGCGACTGATACATTCAATAAAGCCATCACTCTTTATTGGATGTCTCGAAAAACCGATTCTCGTAAACTTTATTATTATTGATTTTTTTTTTTTTTTTTTTGTTTAAGGGCTTTGTTTATCCATGCCCCTTAAACATTTAATTACTTTTGCTGTTCCTTGTTTTTAGCTTCGTGAGGAATAACCGCGGAGTGGAGTCCACGTTTATCAAACTTTATGAATGAAATAGGGTCTTTTGTAATTTTATTTAAGTAAGGGGATCCCTTCCTATCCGCGCTTGCGATGTTGGCGTAGGTGTTGGCGTCGACTTAAACCTTTCCCCATATTTTTAATAAGGTTTCATTCCTCTCTATTCTTTTCAAAAAAAAGAAAAAAAAAGGGATGAAAACGGCTTTTTAGTTGCAAAGCCCATCTTGGCGCAGGTAGACTTGGCGTTAAGGCAACGGCGAGTGTTTACCACTGTTGTTGGCGGTGGACAATGATGGACAAAGGTGAGTGGTCCATTAGGTGATAAAGCTTATATATAGTTTTGATTGCCAAGTGTTTCACTTTCAGATTTCGGGGGGATCTCATCGTTTGTGCTCAGTGATTCCATCTTTTAGAACAAAGACGGACTCATGAGTGAGAATTTCTTTCTGTTTCATGTTGTTGCTGATAGCTTTGATGATGGGGGCTGGAGATGAAGGGGGGCGAGGGGGGGGCTGCAGATGGGGATTTTCTATCTTTATTTCTTTTTTGCAGGAATGGTCATTTGGGTGTTTCGATTTATGTGTTGATGAGGTCTCGTTCGATGCTCCCTATTCTTAAAACGACGCCGTCAATCGCATGACGATCCTTATCGGCCGTTTTCGCATGTTCAAGCCAAAAAGGAAAAGGCAATACAAATTAATGCTGTGGAAAAATGAAGAAAGGAGAGAAATCAAAAAAGACGAATTGCTTTGAACTTAGTCCATTTTAGTTCTTCGGACTGCTCATTCTTGTTTGACAGTCATACTGAAATCGATGGGTTATCGTTTGGTGGGGCTTCATTCTTTTTTAATTAATTAATTATCAGTTGGTAATAGGAATTCAGGATGGGCTCAAAGTATGGTCGCCCACCCCGCGGGTTCTTCCTTTTTCAGTTCAAAGTGTGTGTTGTGGGCGCATTTTATTATAATTGTTTAATTCTCTCTGCCTCTTTTATTTTGTCTTTGGGCAAGTTGTTGCTTTATTTTTTTTGACCCCACGAAATCCCACGCGACAGGGGACCAAAAGCAAGTTTGGCTAAGCTTTCTTTGGAATGACAGCATGGGTGGTTGGTGATGGTGGTGGTCAGCACACGGATGCTTGGACGCGTACTTACTGCATTGAGCAGGCCAACCCTGACTCACAACATGGAACGTCAGCACATTTTTGACGGGAACGGATGTTGAAAATGGAAGTGTCATGGATTTATTTATTATTTGAAACACAGCTCTTTACGTTTGCTTGCTTTGCTGATCCCTACGGAGGTTTACGTAAGCGGATTGATACTCAGCACAATGGATATCATCCCATCCCATCACCTCCTCGGAGGCAATGAAATTCATAATAGGCATACCTAGATCCGTCCGTCTTTCTGATTTGATGACTTGACTGACGGGTGGGGTGAATGGTGAGGGTGGGAGGTGTGAGGGTCATGGGCGCACGTTCACACTATCAGCACAGTAAAAAATTAATAATTAAAACAATAATTATAAGACGATTGAATAGGAAGGTGGTTTTTTTACGCTTTGCGGCTTTGATAACAATTATTAAATTTAAATAATTAAAAAGAAAATTCACTTGTTCCATCACAGTAGTACAAGCAAAGGTTTGGTTGAGTTGAATGTGGTTTGGTTGATTTGGTTAATGGGAAGGAAGAATTGGGTGTGTTTTTTGAATTTATTTTTAATGAATATTAAATAGCTTTGTTTTTGTCATACCTTTTCTATATAGTATAATATTTATTTATTTATTACTTGATTTTGTATTTATTCTTTTAAATATTCTTTTTTTCTCTTCTTTTCACCTCTCCTCCCAACTTGCCTCCTTCCTCTCTTTCCCTTTTTATTTTTTATTTTATTTTTATTATGTATTTTCTGCATTAAAGTATTTTAATATGCAATCATATAAATATTGCTAAAAGGCATAACAGAACGAGTATATAAAGGCGCCCCTTCCCCCCACATCTTTCAGAATTTCTCACCGTCTCACTTCCCCCTCCACCTCCCCTCCCCCCCCCCCCCTCTACTCATCTAGTCATGAGCAGCGCCATCTCTTCACTGTTCACCCCAAGGTCCATTGAGGCCCTCGACGACGAGCACCCCGATGTCGCGGGTCACGGTCACGGTACCTACAAAAGTCACTCTCAGGTCTCGACCTTGTTCTCCTCGGTATCGGTTGCATTATTGGTGCTGGTGTCTTCACCCTCACTGGTATCGTCGCCAAAACCATTGCTGGACCCGGTGTCATCATCTCGTATGTCCTTGCTGGTACTGTTTGCGCCCTCTCTGCTCTTTGCTACTCTGAACTCGCGGCCATGATTCCTGTCTCTGGCTCTGCTTACACCTACACCTACGCTACCATTGGTGAGCTTGTTGCATGGATCATTGGATGGGATCTCTGTCTCGAGTACCTTGTCGGAGCTCTGCTGTCGCTGTCGGATGGGCTTACTACTTGGAGTACACCCTTAACCTTGTTTCTGGCGGTGTAAGTAAATCATCATTCTTCCTTACGTTTGCTATCAGCTCGACTTTCAAAGCTTGTTTCTGACTATGGATTTTGCGCATAACAGAAATTCTTGTTCGACCCCTTGTGGTCTAACGCTCCCGTGCTCTGGACCGAGGCTACCCAGACCTTCTCCATCACCGGATCTTACTTCAACGTCCCCGCCTTCCTCGGTATCATCCTCCTCACCATCATCCTCGCTTTCGGTATCAGGCAGTCTTCATGGGTTGTCAGCGTCTTTGTCGTTGTCAAGCTTGTCGTCATTGTCATGTTCCTCCTCGGCGGTATCAAGTTCGCCAACGGTGCCAACCTTACTCCTTTCATGCCCTTCGGTTTCGATGGTGCCTTCCGTGGATCGATCATTGTCTTCTTTGCTTACATTGGTTTCGATGCCGTCTCCACTACCGCCCCAGGAGGCCAAGAACCCCCAGCGTGACATGCCTATCGGTATCATCGGCTCCCTCACCGTCTGCACTGTCCTCTACATTGCCGTCTGCGTCATGCTCTGCTCCCTCCGCCCTTACGACCTTATCCAGGTCAAGGCTCCCGTTGCCACCGCTTTCGTTGACGCTGGTGGTCCCCAGTGGGGTCGGTACCCTCCTCGCCTTTGGTGCCTGGTGTGGTCTTACCTCTGTGCTTATGGTCACCCTCATCGGTCAGCCCCGTATCTCCGTGCCATGGCCTTTGACGGTCTCTTCCCCAGCTCCTTTGCCTACATCAGCCCCAAGACCGGTACCCCCGTTGTCACCACCCTCTTCTCTGGTTTCTTTGCTGCCGTCCCTTGCTGGTGCCTTCCCCATTGACATTCTTGCCGAGCTTTCCTCTGTCGGTACCCTCTT